ACCCTCTCCCTCTCTCTCTCTCACACTCTCTCTCTCTCTCTCTCTCTCTCTCTCTTACCGTGGTCAGTCGCTCCAAAGCTGAGAAGCGTTCCTCCCAAGTAGCGGCTGATTTCTCGAAGGCTTCGTGACGTTTGATCAGCTTCTCCACCTCGTCCACACTCTGTCCCATCTCTCTGCCGGACAGGTACGGCTCCTGTCCCAGCAGCCACGCCTCTGCCACGCCGGCGTCACGTGAAAACTGGTGCACTTCCAAAACTGCACAAACACAGGCAATGTGAAAGGGGAAGTCAGTGTCAATGATTTAAAGATCAAGCTGCCCACATCCTATTACACACTTCCCATTATAAGGTCAGAAATAACTCTATCAGAGCTGCTAAGCATCGTGGGAGGAGACCGGGCCGGTTCTAGACATTTGGAGGCCCCCCACCCCCAATACAAAGCACTTGAAACAAATATGATTCCTAACCTTTTTATTTCAACAACATTTAATTTTAAATTTTGTATATTTTTACTTACACAGTTCTGATCAAAAGTTTGGAAACATTACTATTTTTAATGTTTTTGAAAGAAGTCGCTTATGCTCATCAAAGCTGCATTTATTTGATCAGAAATACAGAAAAAAATGGCAATATTGTGAAAAATTATTGCAATCTAAAATAATGATTTTCTATTTTAATATACTTTAAAATGTAATTTATTCCTGTGATCAAAGCTGCATTTTCAGCATCATTATTCCAGTCTTCAGTGTCACATGATCTTCAGAAATTATTCTAATGTTGATTTATTATCAATGTTAGAAACAGTTGTGCTGCTTCATATTAATTTTATAACCTGTGATACTTTTTCAGGATTTTTTGATGATTAAAATGTTGTTAAAAAAAAAAAGATATATTTTATAACATTTTAAGTCTTTACTATCACTTTTAATCAATTTAACATCCTTGCTGAATACTACTGTTTTTCTGTATTAATGCATGCATGCATATTTTACTAACATAATACATTTAATATATATGTATGTATACAAATATTATTCATATAAAAAATGTATATTATTTTTATCCAAATCTTTAAAAAGCGGAGAAAACACATATTATTACACAGATATTTCCTATCATACTCACTCAGTCTAAGCCACTCCCATCTGTCCTCCCACTTGTCAATCATATCTTTCCTCTTATCCGTCAACTGCAACAACTTCTCTTTGATCTGTGGGAGAGGTAAGCGGACATGAAGGACTGGATCGGTGTAAAGACGGTTCTTTTCTTGAACCTCTTCGTCTGTCCTGCGGATGGTACCCACCTCCTCTGATGCATAGTGTTTCCGTGCCAGGAGAGATTTGCCCAGCTCGATGCAGGCCGTGAAACTGTCGTTGCGGGCATCGATTTCAGCCTTGATACCCTGGTGGTTGTTCATGAGAAGCTCGACAGACGACACGTCTCTGAAGAACAGCAGAAAGAAAAGAGATGAATAGCTTCAGACTGATCTGGATCATCTACACACACAACACACCTCCATCATTCTGTTCAACACATACTAACAGCACACTGTGAACAGAAACAAATATAGGAAGTATACATACACACAAACGTTTACCTAGCTATCTAAAACTTTCCCTTTACTTCTACTGTTATTAACTGTAGTCAAATATGATTCCTATTGTGCCTGCATAAAGTACAAAAGTATATATATATATATACAGTGGGTACGGAAAGTATTCAGACCCCCTTACATTTTTCACTCTTTGTTATATTGCAGCCATTTGCTAAAATCATTTAGGTTCCTCATTAATGTACACACAGCACCCCATATTGACAGAAAAACACAGCATTGTTGACATTTTTGCAGATTTATTAAAAAAGAAAAACTGAAATATCACATGGTCCTAAGTATTCAGACCCTTTGCTCAGTATTTAGTAGAAGCACCCTTTTGATCTAATACAGCCATGAGTCTTTTTGGGAAAGATGCAACAAGTTTGTCACACCTGGATTTGGGGATCCTCTGCCATCCCTCCTTGCAGATCCTCTCCAGTTCGGTCAGGTTGGATGGTAAACGTTGGTGAACAGCCATTTTTAGGTCTCTCCAGAGATGCTCAATTGGGTTTAAGTCAGGGCTCTGGCTGGACTATTCAAGAACAGTCACAGAGTTGTTGGGAAGCCACTCCTTCGTTATTTTAGCTGTGTGCGTAGGGTCATTGTCTTGTTGGAAGGTAAACCTTCGGCCCAGTCTGAGGTCCTGAGCACTCTGGAGAAGGTTTTCGTCCAGGATATCCCTGTACTTGGCCACATTCATCTTTCCCTCGATTGCAACCAGTCATCCTGTCCCTGCAGCTGAAAAACACCCCCACAGCATGATGCTGCCACCACCATGCTTCACTGTTGGGACTGTATTGGACAGGTGATGAGCAGTGCCTGGTTTTCTCCACACATACCGCTTAGAATTAAGGCCAAAAAGTTCTATCTGGGTCTCATCAGACCAGAGAATCTTATTTCTCACCATCTTGGAGTCCTCCATGCGGACTTTCATGTGTCTTGCACTGAGGAGAGGCTTCCATCGGGCCACTCTGCCATAAAGCCCCGACTGGTGGAGGGCTGCAGTGATGGTTGACTTTCTACAACTTTCTCCCATCTCCCGACTGCATCTCTGGAGCTCAGCCACAGTGATCTTTGGGTTCTTCTTTACCTCTCTCACCAAGGCTCTTCCCCCCCGATAGCTCAGTTTGGCCGGACAGCCAGCTCTAGGAAGGGTTCTGGTCATCCCAAACGTCTTCCATTTAAGGAATGGAGGCCACTGTGCTCTTGGGAACCTTAAGTGCAGCAGAAATTTTTTTGTAACCTTGGCCAGATCTGTGCCTTGCCACAATTCTGTCTCTGAGCTCTTCAGGCAGTTCCTTTGACCTCATAATTCTCATTTGCTCTGACATGCACTGTGAGATGTAAGGTCTTATATAGACAGGTGTGTGGCTTTCCAAATCAAGTCCAATCAGTATAATCAAACACAGCTAGACTCAAATGAAGGTGTAGAACCATCTCAAGGATGATCAGAAGAAATAGACAGCACCTGAGTTAAATATATGAGTGTCACAGCAAAGGGTCTGAATACTTAGGACCACGTGATATTTCAGTTTTTCTTTTTTAATAAATCTGCAAAAATGTCAACAATTTATATTGTTTAAATCCCATATTTACTTCACTGCATAAATATTGCATGACTGTTATATAAATCAAAGTGTAAAAAAAGGTGAAAAAGTTTAAGATCATTTTTAGCTATATCACCCAGTCCTGATTATTATAATGATTTTAACAATAAAAAATATTATGAATATTATGAATACAAAAAAATCCATATTTATGTCACTGTAAAGCATAAATATTGAGATATACATCAAAGTGTCACCTAACACTGAAATACAGTTTGACATTTTATTTATATTTTTAAAATTATTTTAATAGTAAAAATGTATTTATTTATTTAATTTACAGTTATATCAGCATTATTTTTTTTTTATATTTTAGAATATATCTTTATTATTATTTATTATTATTATATACTTAATTTGTATTCTGCACAATTAAAATAAAATGGACTGATTTAATCTATAAACTGAAAACATTTGTAAAAATCCTATTTTAAGACACAGAAGAGCCAATATAAAATAATGAAAAAGACAGATATAATTTGAGCTATATCACTCTATAGCACTGAAGTACAACTTTGGACATTATAGTAGTGAAAAAAAAATTATAACTATTTATTTGATTTCTTTATGAACCATTTCCCTTTCAAAGACAGAGGTTGTCGCATTTAACTAAAGTTCAGGCACATTTTCAGCAATAATGTCTCCTAAAGCAAAGCCAGGTCAGAATCACACACCTGGGCTTCTCCTGCGTCTCGATGAGGCGGATGACGTCCTCCATCCAGAGCATGAGGTCCCGCACCATACTGAAGAAGCGGAACTTGTCTCCGGTGTCGAGTAGTCGGGCCCTTCGGCCCTCACAGGCCTCCAGCAGACTCCTCCAGGCCTCCAGCACCTCTCCCTCACGCCGCTGGATGTCGTCCGCTTTGTCTCCAGCATACGCTGACTGCAGGCGCACGGCGTCCTCCTGCAGCTGCCTGACCTGAGCACACCAGCAGGGGACAGCAGTGAGTACAACAGCTCCTTATGAGCTTCAGTGAGATGTGGGAGAGAAACGCTGAATATGCAGCATTTGACGCTTAAAGGACTCATTTAGTGCAAGACAAATTGTGAGATTTCAAAAACCATGACATTTTAAGACCCATTAATTAAGTGAAGAGTCCTGGACAGTGCATTTAGCCAATAAAACCGGTTAATTTACTTCTCTGTTGTGCAATATTAGTCTCGTAATGCATGATGTTCACCTTCAGAGATTAATGATGCACAGAAGAAGGCTGTGGGACAAATTCACACTGTGGCATTTGAGAAAGGGCTTTACTGAGGAGAGCATGTCCAACTTCTCAACCAATCAGATGTTTTTATGCTATTCACTGCAGTTTTTTTTATTATAAATTATATTTAAATATAAAATATATATTTAATAAATCGATTTAAGTTATAGAATATTAATATTATTATTATTTAAAATAATAATATTATTATTATATTATTTATAAAAATATTAAATATAATGATTTTTATTATTATATTTATATATATATATAAATATTTAAAACAATCTAATTAATCTATAAATAATTATTAACTAATTAATCATTTCTCTCTCTCTCTCTCTCTCTCTATATATATATATATAATTAATTAAAAATGTATATAAATATTTAAACATTCTGAATTACTCAAAAAAATTATATATATGCGTGTAATTCTATAAGATTTTTGAATAATTTTGTTTTTTGAAAGTAAAAAAATAGATAAAAAATACATTAACAACAGTAAGATTGCAAAATATTATTACAGTTTGAAAGTATTTTCTATTATAATATATATTGAAATTAAATTTATTTTCACTGTATTGTTGATCAAATAAATGCAGCCTTGATGAGCATAAGAGACTACTGCCAGAAAAATCTTAATTATTCCAAACTGTACATGATATATTTTTATATATCAGCATTATATTTTAATTTTTTTGGAATATATTAATTTTCATATTTTAGAACATATTTATTTTACGGTTTATATACGTGTTTATTATTATGCATAATTGTCTCGTACTTATGTTCTGAACAGTGACAATAAAGCTGATTTAATCATATTTAATCATAAGCCACTGCAGAGCAAACGCATAAATATTATTATAAATCAAATGTGTCAAAAGGATGAAAACGACTGAGATATAATCATTTTTGATCTGGTTTATGATGTTTATCTGTATCTGTGTGTGTTTCTGGATCTGAGCGACGCACCTGCGTCCCGAGAGCTTGAATGTCGTGTTCAAACGTGGTGTGCATCCTCTGCAAGGTTTCCACCGTGTTCTGGTCTCGGCCCAGCTCTTCTGGAAGCTTCTTGTGCTTGTCCAGGATGCGGCCCAGAATCTCCTTGGCGTCGTGGTAGAACTTGTGCAGCTCGTAGGACGCGGCAAGAATCTGCGTGCGTGTGTCGATGAGCTCCAGCAGATCG